CCAAATTTATGAAAACAGCATCGCCATGCACATTGTGAAAGTGTGAATTCAAGTCACCATGTCTCTGCAACCAAAACGCGTTAAAGCATAGAATGCAGTAAAGGTTGCTTGAAAATGGGCGTGAAAGATTTGATTAGAAAACTAGAGATCCTATTGCCACTAGAATTTCCGGGTCTGGTTAGTTGGTCCTTATTAACAATTAATATAATTCTTTCCCTTCTAATTACATGAAAGCGAAAGATTTATACAATTAGAGATGCTATATTATTGTTCTCTATAGGAGCTTCGCCTCGAGCCAAACCCAAAGTAGCATTTATTAAATGTTATCTTCACATGTTGGTCATTGTGTTAAAAGTTCCGATTTATATAGCTTTGGGTCATATTTTTATATACCACATTTTTAGATCACATTACCCATTACAACGTACGTACATACGTACATGATTTTGACGATGATACTAGGTGGCTAATTATGCAGTGTTATTATACGTACTAGGTTAACCAGTTAACCGATTACACTGGGTTAATCGATTATGCTGGGTCAAGCATGTCAACTGATTATTACGGGTCAACCGCATTTTGCTCAACTGGTTAACCCGAATTTATTCGGTTCATTATAGTTATTGTATGGGTATGTAGTGAATAACCCGGTTACACACGAGTTCATATCTGTGGCCTTCGGCCACGGACATGAACCCGTGTGTATAACTGGGTTATTCAATATACTCATACAATAACTATCTTATTGCACGGTGCCTGATGTAACAATCCCGTGCAATAACCAAATGAAAAAAAAACACGGGTTGTCACATAAGACCTGTGCAATAACCCGATTGAGGCTACTCTGGTCAAATTTGCAAATCGTTTGGCTAAACCCAGAACTTTCCTATTCCGAATTTGGTTAAGCGATCTGCAAATTTGACCAGAGTTATAAGTAATCGGTTTTACTATTTATATTACAATTGATTTTCAATACCTGTTTAAACATGATTAATGCGATTTAAGAATTCACTGTAATGCTGCTTCATGTGAAAACTTGAGGCGTTGTGATAGTTATGATCACGCTGACCAATAAAATGTAAGATTTTGCACCCGTACACCATTTCTCCCATGGGTAAGCCATGCTCTTCGTTTCAGGTATTTGTAAATTTGTAATTATTATTTTATTTAAAATTTGATACAGAATAAAGTTAATAGTGTTTAATTTTTTTTTACCATACAAGGGTTGGTTATTTACCTCCACGCATTTAAGATAAATTAGTAAATTGAAAGAAGAATAGATCATTCTCAGAACTACGTTTTTTCAGATGAATTTTTTTAGGGTGCCCTTATGTCAAGGAAATTCCGAGCTGCAGATCACTGTAGATCACTTCCGGTCCATCTCCGGTCAATCTCCGGAGTCAAATTGACCGTCAGTAAATTGACATTCTACATAAATCAAATAAACATTATACTAACGTTTATGTACAAGCGTTTGTACTAGCGTTCGTACTAGCGTTCATACAAATGTTCGTACAAACGTTCGTACAAATGTTTGTACTAACGTTTGTACAAACGTTCGTACAAGCGTTCGTACTAACGTTCGTACAAACGTTCGTACAAACGTTCGTACAAATGTTCGTACAAACGTTCATACTAACGTTCGTACTAACACGTACTAATGTTCGTACTAACGCGTACTAACGTTTACACTAAAAGTTGAAATTTTTGCAAGAAAAACTTTTATTTTATTTATTAACAATTATTTAAAAGTTTTTAAACTTATATTTATTACAATTAACAACAAAGTTTTTAAACATTTATTTATTACAATTAACAACAAAAATTTTTAAACTTTTATTTATTTATTACAATTAACGATATATGTCAACGTTAATGCCAACGTTCGTATTAATGTTAGTATTAACGTTAGTACTAACGTTCGTACGAACGTTAGTACAAATGTTAGTACTAACGTTCATACAAACGTTCGTATTAACGTTCATATGAACGTTAGTACAAACGTTAGTACTAACGTTCATACTAACATTAGTATTAACGTTCGTACAAACGTTAGTACTAACGTTAATACGAACGTTTGTACGAACGTTAATACAATGAAATACCAGAATAAATGTCAAAAGGAAGCATCGAAGAAGATACCAAGGAAAGCGACGAAAAAATGCTCAAATGACAAAAGAATACCAAATGAATAACAAAAAAAAAACAATGAAAGAAGCATCTAAATGACGATGGAAGAAGCACCAAAAGAACAACGATAAAAGATGACGAAAAAAGCTTTGAAAGAATGTCAAAAAGGACCGAAAGAATGACAAAAAAAGCACTGAAAAAACGATAAAAGGCTCCGAAAAACGTCAAAAAAGGCACTGAAAGAATGACGAAAAGCACCGAAAAGACAATGAAAGAAGCACCGAAAAAACATCGAAAGAAGCAGTGAAAGAATGTCGAAAAAGGCACTAAAAGAACGATGAAAAATACCGAAGGAACGACGTAAAAGCATGGAAGAACGCATACAAAACATCAAAAAAAAAAAAAAAAACATACCTACGTAAAGGGCACCAAAAGAACGTCATAAAAATCACCGAAAGAACGACGTAAAAAGCACCAAAAGAGCGATGAAAAAAAATATAAAAAAAAAAATGTTAACAAAAAAAATGTGTAAACAAAAAAAAAATGGAAACAAACGATATTTGTAATAACATATCAGCCGATTTTTGAAATTTACAAGTGTATTTTTAAAAAACTTCAAAGCTAAATAACTTTTGATCTACTGGTCTATTTTAAATGATTTTACTACCAAAATGTTCATCTCTTTGAGACGATTCCAACGAGCCCAAAATCATTA